TGGATCTGATGAATGTGCATTAACAATCTTTTCGTCAGTATAGAGTACTTTGGCTTGGCTAATGGAAGGGCTATTGGCACCGAACTTATTCTTTATTTCTTGCTATATCAGCTGATTGTTATCTCTTTTAGTTCTGATATAAATGACAAAACATAATTCAAAGGAGTAGTCTTTTCCTAAAAATGTGACCCATCATTTGAGGAATATCTGTTATTGATGAAAAGGGAAACCGAGATTATACCGTTCTCTTCTGTATGATGGTTGAAATATTTTTGCATATATGTTTCATTTTGAGAAGAAGAAATCTATGCTTCAAAACTCTTACTAGGCCCCATTGTTTGTAGTTGCTTATTCAAATATTTGTTACCACTGAATTCATTGGGAATGAGACTTAATTCTCATTATTTTCAAAATATAGTTCTCTCCTTTTTTTAACCACGCATTCTTCAATAAAATAATATTACACGCAAATCTAAAATTTTTCCTTACTTTTTAACTACACATTCTCTATCAATCTACTATTCCAAAATGTATTTTTACAATAAAATGGGGGCTCAAACATGTTCTTCATTTGTTCTTGTTGATAATCTCATCTCAAGAACTCGGAGATTCCTATGTGATGAATTTGTTAATTGATTTGCCATGAAAGGAAATGAAAATTTGGTTTCCTGTTACATTCTATACGCATTAAATTTTCATTAATATTTTGTTCTATCTCCCTGGGGATTGAAGTTAAGCAATACATTAACATGCCAATTATATATCTCAAGGCAATTTCCAACATCAAAGCCTCTTTATTGCTCAGTTGCAAAACTTGTTGATGAAGATATCTTTTTCTTTATTTACTCAAATGAAGCATTCCTGCAGTGTCCCCAAGATTCTTTCTGAATTCTCTCCGTTGCTACTGCTCTATATAGTTAATTGACTGGTAAGTGAAATTCAAAATATGTTCATGTTGTTCTCATTTTTTAATCTAAAACATATATTGTATCTCTTTTTTGTACCATTCCAAGGGATTGAATTGAGTTCATCCGTTGATGTCTACATGGTATCATGTATCCAAATGTTAGTTCATGACGTCTTTCGCATAAGTCATCACATTTTCTTAACTTTATGTCAATTTATTTAAAAAAATCTTTATTTATGCACTTTCTTAAGTTTCCGACTTAATCCAGATTAATCTCATTTTATGTTGTTTTTTACTTTCAAGATATTAAAAAATTTAAATTGGGCAATCCAAAAACGTTCCATTATATAAATCAATATCGGTACGAGTTAGATTGACTTGATGAATCCAGTGAGTATATAAAAATAAAAAAGGCAATGGTTACTATGAGAATAAGTTCAGAGGAACAAGTATAATTGACAGTTGTTTTTAATAACCCAAATGGTCACTGAACTTTAAAAATCATCTGAGTCATCACTAAACTTTGCAAAAGGTTGACACGGGGTCACCGAACTTTGCAAAAAGTTTTCACGGGTCATTAAACTTTAAAAATCATCCCATTCATCACTAAACTTTGCAAAAGTTTCCCAGGGGATCACTTATTGGAAACCTTTTGCAAAGTTCAGTGACCCTGGGAAATTTTTTACAAAATTTAGTGATGAATGAAGTGATTTTTAAAGTTCAGTGTCCTCGTGTAAACATTTTGCAAAGATCAGTGATGACTTGGGTGATTTTTAAAGTTCAGTGACCATGTGAAAACTTTTTGCAAAGTTCAATGATCATTTGGGTTATTAACCCGTTGTTTTACATGTAAAAGTGTTTTCTTGCTAACTCTATTTCATTTGTTGCCTATTCGGATGCAATATTTAGAGTTATTGTCGCCATCCTCCATTTTGAAAACATTGAATTTACAAAGAGGAAAGAAATAAATAAATTCATCCATGCTTGAAGATAAAACATTTTGGTTTCATTTAAGAACTGCAATAGAACTATTCCCGTAATTGTTAAATTTTGCAAGGCTATAATTCACTTGATAAGAGTAGTTGCTATATTTTTATCTTACCACATCCTAAGATTAAGAGTTTTTAAAAGTTCTGCATTTTGTAGGTGATATGTGAAGGCTTTAGTTAGAGGACGCCCTCTGCAAATGTGTAATTGTCACTAGTGATGAAATCATCACCAAATGTTTAGACCCAGAAACTGCGGCTGGCAGCATATGCTTTTTCCAAAATCGTCTACTCAAGATTGTTTAACTTGTAGGCTTCATTTTTATGCTTGAAGGAGATGTTCATTAGTTGACGTACATTTGTAACCCAACATACGGTGGCTTCATAATCTATCTGTTTTTGAGTTTGTTAGATCCATTTGTTTATTTTGTATGCTTGCTTATGTTGGAGCAAGAAGATTTTACTGGTACTCATGATTTCATCGAATGTGGGTGTTTCTTTTGGTGCATGTTGAAGTTGGTTCTAACTATTGCATCCTAAAAATAGCAAAAAAAAAAAATTATAATTTCAGATCTTGATGACCTATCGAGAAGATTTTCTCATCGTATTCATCTATCAATAGACCATCATATTTGATTGGTCAGTTTGGATATATTTTACTGTTCCAGTTGTCTCAACATTACATACGTTTGTTGAGCCTTTTCAAACCATTAGATATTGAAAATGACTTTTTCGTGCACAAAATTTTACTGCCTCTTTTAAATCACATGATATGTTGTACATCAATTCCAAAAGCTTTTGCTGATTAATATAGACACCAGCTTGGGAATATGGTTCGTGTAATTGACTATCGTGGTATAGTTTGAGTTTTAACTGGCAAAGATGAACAATAGATTGTACTTCTTTGCAGGATGTGAACATTTTCTGACCATTGCAATTCTTGATAAACCTTTGATGCATTGCATCATTTGGCTACTCTTTACGCCTCCTTACGAAGAGGTATTCTTTTTATTGTTCATTTGTTTAGCTTTCACATTGATGGTATCATGTCGGTTCTATTTTATTATAATTGTCTCAATCATGAACATGAAAAAAAAGAGTTCGTTTCTTATGGCAGCTGTACTCTTTCAAGGGGCATCCATCGATCCTCTGATCAATTTGGCCATTGACTTCGACCATACGTATGTCCTCCATTAGCTTGTCTAGTTTTTTAGTTCCTTTTTGAATCTATTGCTATCAGAAGCATATAGTATGTTTCTTTAATTTCTTCTTGGTGGCTTTGCAATTACATTGTGATTTTAGTTTATACATTTGGGTTGCATTTGGCGCACTATATAATTTTTCGTTTTTAGGACTTTTTTATTCTTCTTTTTTGTGTCACTTATGTTAGGGAGTTGGATATGAATAAGATCACTGTTTCTCTTTGCTTTCAATGTTTTTTGGTTTTTGAATATGTTCATATATTGTTGAATGAGATGTGCACTAAATTCTTTAAGCACTCAAGTCATCTCACAGGTAACTATTATTTTTCCTCATTACTTTTGGGTATAATTATTTTTCCCAATAATACGAGAAGTATATATTTAATGGAAGTCCGATTTATTTAACTCATGGGAAGTTTTTAGATTTTTTTTTCTTCATGAATTGTTAAGCTACTTCACAATTATCGTCATATGCTCGTCTTTTATGAATTACTCATGAATCATTCCACACACACATAATTTGGTTATTACAGTTGACAATGGAAAAATATAAATAAGCTAATTCATCTATAGGTCAACCATCTCATATTATGTCAAGGGAGATCTACGAGGTGTCATCTCTGGTCGGGATTTTGGCATGTTGTTTAGGTCCTTTCATATAGTTAACTCTTGTTTGCTAATTATTTTATGTATGCGTTAAAGTTTACTTTATTTCCTCATGCTCTTCAGATGCTTCGTGACTATACTTTATTGATAACATTACATGTAAATTTACCTTATTAAATTAAGTTCGTTCTGCTCATCTAATCCAATGCACATATCTTCCATCAACCCTTCTCACAAGACACACTAACGTTACTTTAAAAAATAACAATGCATGGGCATCAAACTAGTAATAAGAAAAAGGATAATGCTGAATGTATACTCAATGACGACCCCCTCACATGAGGGTGGGCTCGCCACCCCCACCCCCTGTCATCCAAGGTGTACATCAAACATGATCTTAAGAAACATTAGAAAAATAGAGGACAAACCAAGGGGCTGTTATGCAAGGTGTACATTAAGAATTGTCCTAAGAAAAATTAGAAAAATAGAGGACAAACCAGAGAAGGATCTGACACATCAATTTTACCGGTAGACAAAAAGTACAGCTCAGTTGCTTCTTTTGTCTCCATCATTCTAATTTGCTTTTTAAATAATCAATTTTCATCCCACCTGATTTTGATAATTTCTGTTTTTCTTATATTTCCTCTATTCGTCTTCATCACTCCAATTTTCAACTCTAAAGATTCAATTTTGAGCGCAGGTATTGAATCTTTCTCAGTTATAAATTTCTGGGTTCTCCTTAATATACTGAATAAAGGCTTCTGATTAATCCGTGCAAGAAAGGAGTTGTCCTAAATGAAATTGAAGTGTGTGTTTCCCCTCATAGATTTAGAGTATTCAGTAGGGGGTGTGGCTGAGTTTCAACCACTTCAAATATAAATTATTAATTTGTCATTGAGTGAAGATTCTATGAAAACCCAGTCCAGCTTTGCTTTTGTTTCATAAGTAATTAGGTTAAATGATCTAAAGTAGTAAAGTTTTTTGAATTGCTTAGCTGTATTTCTACGGTGACATTTCACGCTCTACATCTCCTTCCAAGTAAGCAATCTTATTACTCTTTTAGATCCCTGATTTTATTCCCTTACACTTTTGATTTTGATGGCTTTTGTTTAGCTCCATTTTCTCAAAATTATTTTATATCTTAAAGCTTTGTGAAGTAACAGTGACAAGGGTTACTAGAAGAGTCTGTTAGATCTGTGTTATTCATTGGTATTGTTAATTATTTATTTAATTGATCTTAGTTTCTTTTTGTTTGCAGGCTACGTCCCATAGATTGGAAATTTACTTCATTGAGTGAAGATGAACGGAGCGGCATTGTTAGCCATTGCTGCCACAGTTGGTAACTTTTTGCAGGGTTGGGATATGGCAGCCATTGCTGGTAATTGTTCTTTTCTTCGGTTCCATATCCCTTATTCGGTTTTTGGTCTTACTATATTAAGTATATGTTTTTTCTTTATCTTGATTGCTACACTCAAAGTTCATGTCTTGAAATTTGACCATTCTCATACTGATTCTATTGTGTTTCTCGTGCAACTTGTAAAGGAAAGCTGTGTTCTCTTTGCTTTCTATTATCAGTTTTATTTCTTCTTTCAACATAAGGAGGGAGAAATCCATCTTAGGTTTCAAGATGTACTACAGTGTTTGAATCATCCTGATGTTTGATGTGCACAGGAGCAGTTGTTTACATAAAAAAAGAGATTGAGTTAGAATCTACCATGGAAGGGCTTATTGTGGCGATGTCACTCATTGGAGCAACGGTTATCACAACTTGTTCAGGAACAATATCTGATAGGATTGGTCGACGTCCAATGCTTATTCTCTCATCCATATTTTATTTTCTTAGTGGTCTGATAATGTTATGGTCGCCTAATGTCTATGTCCTTCTTCTGGCGAGGCTCTTAGATGGGTTTGGTGTTGGACTCGCTGTCACTTTAGTGCCCTTGTACATTTCTGAGATTGCCCCATCAGAAATACGAGGCTCGTTAAATACTCTTCCTCAGTTCTGTGGTTCTACTGGACTGTTTCTGGCATACTGTATGATCTTTGGCATGTCCTTACTGTCTTCGCCTAGCTGGAGGCTGATGCTAGGAGTTTTTTCTATTCCTTCTCTCCTGTATTTTGCATTAGCTGTACTATATTTGCCAGAATCTCCTCGATGGCTTGTGAGTAAAGGAAGAATGCTGGAGGCAAAACAAGTTCTGCAGAAACTGCGTGGTGGGGAAGATGTTTCTGGTACATTTCTTATTCTAATTCTGATTTGTTGTGAATGATTATTTTTCACTGTGGCCTAGCAAGTTAATTTTTCTGCTTGGATAAGGATGTTTAATGGTGGTCTGGATGGTCATAGATGGACTAGCACTATTAAATTAGTAAAAGGCTTGACATCGCGTGTTTGTTGTGATTTCTTAAGTCTCAAAATGTATTCATCTTCAAAGCTATTGTAGGAAGATTAGTTCTGTGACACAATTATTTGGTTTTATCTGTTAAGCTAAAAAGACAAAATGCCAATTTTCCACTTGTCTGGATGACATCTACTTAAAACAGAATTTCTTAAGCTGTTGCGTGCCACTTTTTTGTGCCATTACACAAATGTTAGACATCACATGCAGTTTTACTCACAGCATGTCAAACTTTAGGTGACACATGCTGACTGCACATAAGTCCTAGTTGTAATAATGGATAGCATTTTTATTGCCTTGTCGTCGAGTGCTGGACTTCTGTTTTTTATTTCAATCTTGGGAAGCACCGACACGTTGCCGGCGTCTACGTATCGGTGTCAACACGTATCGGACACCGGTATGTCTCCGACATGTTGCCGACGTGTGTCGGAGAAGAAATGCATACGGATGGAAAAAACAGTAAGCAAAACATATGGCTGGAAGAAAAGAAGAGGCGTGTGACGGTTGCTGCGTTGAAGAAGAGATGCAGTGGTAGCTAGAATTGGAAGAAAAGGCTGAGGAGGAAGAGATAGGCTGTGAAGAAGAAAAGAAACGGCTGTCTGCTGAGAAAGAAAAGAAAATTCTAAGGAAGTAAACCCTAAATATAATTTTCAATTCAAATTGGGCCCAAAATTTTAAATGCTCTTTAAATGAGCCCAAAACATTAAATACTCTATAAATGATAAGACTTTTTCTATAGTTTTACCCTTTAACAAAGTAAAAGGTAAATTTTTATTTAGATCAAATTTTTTACCATTTAATTTATTATTTTATCCCAATAAAAAATCAAATTCGAATTCTACTTGTTATTTAATTATTTGTATATATGATGTAATAAGTATAAAACTTAAATATTTTAGACTATTAAATTTTTTTTAAAAAATAAAAGAATAGTATTTTAATTAATGTGTCGACGGCATATCATGTCGAAACTTTTTCAAAAAAATCACGTATCGGTGTATCCGACACATATCGTGTCGGTGCTTCTTAGTTTCAATCTATTGTAGTATAGAAATCTTCTAATTAGTTGAACAAATCTCCTTGTAGCCTTCAATTATTAGATGATGGATTGTCACAATCTTCTAAGGAATCGGAAATGACACTCATCTTGGTTTCTAACTTTTGTACCACCAGACAGCCTGTTAACCTATTTTCTTGTCTGTGCGATAATGATGAACTGGAAGATGATGTCAGCTAGTGTATGTTCTTGGTGGCCACTTCATTTGTTTTTTAATTTTTTGTGTGTGATTTTTTCTGTTTATCCTTTTGGCTTCTTTGTACTTGAAATGCATAAAACTTCCTTACAAACTGTAAGAGTGGAAATGCTTTAATTGCCTCTCTCCTGTTGGTAAGGGAGTTGAAGGCCTTCCCCCCCATCATGGACACCGGATTCGGCCTTCAATACCCAAAATGGTCCATGTGAACTCGGTACACGGGGTTGGGCCCAACGTGGTTTCCTTTCGCGTCCAGCGATTCGATCTCAAGACCTCCCTTAAGAGGTACTTAGTAATGTTGGTACCAATTCAATAAGAAAACTACGTTGGGGCCAACCCCCGTGGATAATATGTAGGCTTGAGATACAGACTGAATCCACATGGACCATGTCGAAACTTCATTGGGGACGTATCGTGACAATTATGAGCTTGGGTGGGTAACAATAGACATTCGTTCTTCTTTGTATTCCATTAACCTATACTTATAGCAAGGACATTGTACATTTATCATTTTACAGTGAGATAAAGGCCATTAACAAGAAGCCAATATAAAATGTGTTATTTCTGCATGAGTGTGGGTAGGTTTACAGAAGATAAATTCTACTTGGACTTTCAAATTTTGAACTGTTCTCATGGTATTTATTTGTAAAGGAAAAGGTTACGTACATTCTTTACATGTCAAATGTAGTTAAAAAAAATGATGTCCTGCACCTTTATGCCAGGGTTCGTGGTGTTAAAAGATTATAGATTTCTTTGTTTGATAAAAATAGCAAAAAACAATAAGCGTTAAAGAAATCCTTTTTCATCAATATGTTTTGTTCGTTGCACATTTTAGTGGAAATCCAAGGTAGCTAAGCGTTTAGCAGTCACGACAGGCCATGTTAGTCTTGGTCTAGCTCTCAGTTTGTAACGTGTCGTACTAAGATCACATCCATCTTATGGAACAAAGTTTCTTTAGGTATACACAAGACATGTCTCGACCACCAAAGTTATCATTCAGTACATATATCCTTCGTTTCATATTTAAGCAAATGATAAGATAAATATGCTGTCTGGAAGGTCTTTTCAAGTTAGGGTAAGTTATAATGTGGATACTGATAAATGAATTTGGATCAAGTCCCTTGTTTTTCGGTGGAATCTGTGCTGCATGTTTTTCACACATTAATCTCAGTATGTTCCGAAAGCGAAGGACTATCAAATATAAATTAAAACTATTAATATGTACATAATAATTGCAAACTGTTAAAAAAACATCAATTGCATTCTGCATGTATATTAATGTAGCAACTTGTAGACTAATTACAATGGTCAATTCCTTGTATATAACGTGTGTTGTTTGAGGTTTAGATGATTCAACTTGTCGTTACTGTCATATGACTTTCTTTTCCAACTTTAACACGATATAATTAATGATCAAAGGATCTTATATAGATGTTCATTTGTAGGTATTTTGTTTCCTTCTTTTTTTACCCTCTATCTGGTAAATTTTTTTACTAATGAACCATTTGGACTTTCTAATATTCTTTGACCAAATATCATATGAATCAAAATTTTAATCATTCTGTTGATTGTACTGATGTTTCTCTTTTCATAGGTGAGATGGCTCTATTGGTTGAAGGTCTAGCAGTTGGTGGTGACACATCCATAGAAGAATACATTATCGGTCCAGCAGATGATCTTGGGGAGGAGCAGGAGCCATATCCTGGTAAAGACCATATCAAGTTGTATGGACCTGAGGATGGCCTCTCATGGGTTGCCAAGCCTGTTAATAGACAGAGTAGCACAGGCCTCGTCTCCCGTCAAGGAACCATGGTAAATCAGAGTGTGCCTCTCATGGATCCTCTCGTTACACTCTTTGGCAGTGTCCATGAGAAGCTTCCAGAAACAGGAAGTATGAGAAGCATGCTATTTCCCAATTTCGGCAGCATGTTCAGTACAGCTGAGCCTCAGGTTAAAAATGAAGAGTGGGATGAAGAGAGTCTGCAGAGAGAAGGTGATGGATACACATCAGAGGCTGGTGGTGCCGATTCAGACGATAATTTGCATAGTCCATTAATGTCACGTCAAACGACAAGCATGGAGAAGGACATGATCGTCCCTCAGTCCCATGGAAGCATTCTAAGCATGAGACACCATAGCAATCTCATGCAAGGGAACGAGGGAGAAGCTGTTGGTAGCATGGGTATTGGTGGTGGTTGGCAGTTAGCATGGAAATGGTCCGAGAGAGAAGGTGAAGATGGAAAGAAAGGAGGAGGTTTTAAAAGGATTTATTTGCATGAGGAGGGTGTTCCTGGGTCAAGATGTGGGTCTCTTTTTTCGCTCCATGGAGGTGATGTTCCTGTTGATGGTGGGTTCATCCAGGCAGCAGCTCTGGTAAGCCAGCCTGCTCTTTATTCCAAGGAAATTATGAGTCAGCATCCAGTTGGACCGGCGATGGTGCACCCAGCTGAAACTTCATCAAAAGGGCCTGGTTGGATTGCTCTTCTTGAACCTGGAGTTAAACGCGCATTAGTTGTTGGGATTGGGATCCAAATGCTGCAGCAGGTATTGTTCAAGTTCACCTCTTATTACATGTATAAAATGGAAGTTTGTTATGCCACTATTTGGTATGGATTAAAAGCTAAATTTTAATTGAAGTCAAAGTCAAATATTAATTTTAACCATATATTTCACGAGACACTACTTTTCAACCACTGATTTCATCAACTTCTATCGAAATCTACTAAAATTCTGTTTTTTATCCCACCAAGCAGGGTCTAAGTGTTAAACCTATTATGAACCATTCAAGTTAATCAACTCATAAATTTCAGTTTCAAGTTTAGAAGTATTGCAGTAAAATGCTCTATAATATTGTTATGTACTAGAATGAAATTATTTGTTTCTTGACATTTTTTTTCCTTGGGCTTCTACCTCTGTGTATTGCTCTTTCTTTCTTTATTTGTATGATTTGGGGCAGATGCACAAATTACTTTATACAAGAAAGTCAAGAAGGTAGTTCGGTTCAAGTAAGATAGAAAAGAATTCCTTTACAGCTAAATTATCTAACTGGCAACCGGGGGTAGAGAAATATGGTTGGGTATGCATCTATGTTATGATGGTGAATGGATAACCTGTTTCATGAAATAATTCACCTCAAGGCCTTAATAAAATTAGTTAATTTTCGTCATTTTATTTTGTGAAAAACTTTCAATCTTCATGATTGACGGGTTTTCACACTTTTGCCATTATTCTGAGATGACCAAAGGAGTGCAAATGAAGACAAACATTAGATTTTAGCTCAAAGAATTGAATAATAAACCGAAAAACTATACTAAGTAAATAAGAGCTAATGTACAGAAAATGAAGTGAGCAGTTTATGTTATCATGTTAATGGTCCTGCTAATATCTAGTGTTCATCTGTGATATATTACTTCCTCCTGCCAATCTCATTCATTATAGTTACTGCCATTGCAAGGTTTTGAATTCGCCATTCCATGACAAGACATGACTTATATTAACTTATCCTATACATTTGGTGGCATTGCCTCGTCCATTCTACTGAAGATTTTATCCATTTTAGAAACAAGACATTAAATAAAACCTTTGTAGAGAAATTTGTTGTGGCTATTAATCGTCGCCATTGTTTGCTTATTTCTTCATTTTTATTTGGAAAATCCCAAAAAATGATAAAAATAATAATAATAATAATTTGTTTTCTCTAATAACCTTATTGATTTTAAGACGAGTAGACTTTGTTGGATAATAGACTTGTCCAAACTTGCTCCTCATTCTTTCTCATGTTTCTGCAGTTTTCTGGTATCAATGGGGTTTTGTACTACACACCTCAAATTCTTCAGCAGGCAGGCATTTCTGATCTTCTTTCTAACCTTGGCATTGGATTGGAGTCTGCATCTTTCCTCCTTAGCGCATTTACAAATTTTTTGATGCTTCCTTGTATAGCTGTTGCTATGAGGTTCATGGATCTATCTGGCAGAAGGTAACTTCTTTCCATTTCTTAATTTCTCTTCTTTTCTGATGCTGACTGGTCTCTGTAGCTTCCATCTGAACTTCTCAAATTTCGGGTTTGGACATTTTTTCCAATCTTTTTGGTCAACATCTTGTTTCTCTCATCCAGTTAGAAGTGGCTGAGTATAAAAAAAGTCATTTTTTCTGTAATAGTATCTCCATCGTTAACTGATAAACAGACTCAATAACAATGAGTAGGTTGATTGAATGGGTTCATAATAATCCTTTTCTTTTGGGTAAAACCATGTTAGAGCATCTCCAAGAGATTCTTTAAACATGAGACACTCTCTATTTTAAAGAGTCAACATTTAAAATCATATTTCAAGAGACTCTTTAAATTAACATTTTAATTTAGAGAATGGGTTTGACTCTCTAAATTTTGGAAAGCCAACTCACTATATAATTAAATGCATTCAAAGCGTTTCAATTTTTATTATAGGAAAACAATAAAATAATCTTAAAGATAAAGAAAAATAATAAATAGTTTTTGGGAGTAGTAAAATCAATCGTCAAATATAAAGAGCTTGTTGGAGTACTTCAAAATTTTAACTCTCTAAATTTATAGATGCTGTCAAATGATAGAATATGCTCTTTAAAAATAGAGTCTCCTGGAGATGCTCTTAAAGAAATGTAACTGTCTTAAATGAGTGTAGAGTTCTCTTTTATGATATCCTAATGAGAAAAATACAACATCGCTCATTTTACAGGTCCTTGCTGCTCATGACTATCCCGGTGTTGATAGTGTCACTCATCATCCTCATCATTGGTAATGTTTTTGATTTTGGAACCATAGCACATGCCATTATCTCAACCATCTGTCTAGTTATCTACATCTGCACCTTCGTTGCGACCTATGGGTCAATCCCGAATATTCTCTGCTCTGAAATATTTCCTACAAGGGTTCGTGGAATCTGCATTGCCGTCTGTGCTCTAGTTTTCTGGATATGTGATGTCATTGTTACCTACACTTTTCCCTTGTTGCTTAGTTCGATTGGGTTGGCTGGTGTTTTTAGCATTTATGCCGTTGTATGTCTCATCTCCTTGATTTTCGTATACTTGAGGGTTCCTGAAACAAAGGGCATGCCCCTGGAGGTCATTACAGAGTTCTTTGCTGTTGGAGCGAAACAGGCTGCTGATAAGCATGAGTAATGGGAGGAGCTCGACTCTGTTGTTAGTTCTTCTTTGGCACTATGTTATGCCGTCTAGCGAGTTTTGTGCTATGTAATTCAATTGAGAATTCATTTATTTTGGTAATTTATATAATTGAGAGATGTTATACCTTTTCTCTACTTATTGTCCTAAATAGGATTGCTGGAATCCGTTGCCTTTGGTACAACTAAACTGCAAGCTGTTAAAGAGCTTAGTATGAATGAAGGAAAAAGAATAAGAAACACAATGCACTGGGGATGTAAAGCTGGTTTGGCCCGTGCTTGGCTTTCAAGGCCTGCGCAGCCTTCTTTTATTTTTTTGCCATTTGGACTGTGCCTGACCATCTAGTGGTTCAATACCAATAGGTAAAGGGCAGTACATGTGGAGTTATGAAAGAAAAGGTAAGTATATTTGAAATATGAAAAGGGGGTATTGAGGGTAATTTCTTCAAATTAAATTTGATCTCGTCTTGAACGTGTTATGCTCGATCATATTCCAACCAGTTGAAAAGTATGAACTATATTACTTTTTGTAGTTTGAATTTACAAAGGCACGATTTTATGGACAGATAATAAAGTGTGAATAGAATGTCGATCATACAAGGACTTGTTTCTGGTTAGCCTACTAAATTTTGATTTAAACTAAAAACTAACTAAACGAACTGAAGCTTGAATGAACATTTTGGAGAAACAGTTTTGCTACATACATGGTTGATAGTTTTGTTTACATTCTATGATGTAACACACAATTTTGCTATTGATTTGAACAACACTTAAAACAATCGCCTTGATTTTTACACATTAAGGAATGTCAACCATGATGTACAAATGAAATGTAAAAGTAACTTAATTCTTGGAGAAAAATCAAATATGAAAGGATTTAGCCTCTTGTACATTATGGATGCCATAAAGGCATCCATAATGGACAAGTGTCCGACCCCCATTGGGGGGTCGGCTGATGCGATCCTTATGGCATTCATAATATACAAGTAGCAATGCCCTTTTTTTATATGCTTTGAAATCCTTTTGTTCCCTATGTCTTGTAGAATCTGGTTGGTTGTCTTTTAATTTTTCAATTTCTATAAGTCAGTTTGGAAATGAATGTTCATTCATAATGGACATTTTCCTAGAAATTAAACTATTTATACAGATCCCATTGATGTGAATTAAAATCAAAATTTTAGTAGTTTTTAATAAAAAATGATGAAATATGTGATTGGAAAATTGTGGAACTCAAGAAATATGTATGATTAAAATTAATTGTTGATTTTAACTTATATTAAGGTTTAGTTTTTAATTTTTACCGAATAGAGGCATAGTAGTATTCTCTCTATAGTTTGCAAGCCTGACCTAACCTAATTTTATCGTTATATTGAAAGTAATTTCTCATCCGAACTTGTATCATTAATAATTTGCTTACTTTATTAGAATTGAACACTGAGATTTTGAAGAAAAATGTGTTTGGAATAGTGATTTTTTTTAATAGAATGTATAGTTAATAAATAAGAAAAAAATTGAATTTTAAACACATTATTTTATAGAAGAAAGAAAATAGATTTTTAAAAAAATTGTATTTTTGAAAAAAGTGGAGTCCAAAAAGGGGCTTATTATATTTATAGTGTCAAGTTGATTACTTGATTGGGAATCATGATGAAATGCATCATTTTATATTTCCCCAAATTCTTGGTTTTCCTTGCACTTTTCTTGTTAATCTTATATATTTTATGAAGAAGATTTGAAAATATTTGAGCGTGCATCTTATTTCTACCCTTGTTTGGTTTCAATTATTTCGAAAATATATTTTTTTTCTCTATATTTTCAATCGTATATTTTTTAATAAAATAATATTACAGGGAAACTCAAAAACTTTTTATTATTTTTTTAATCACATATTCTCTGACAAAAATTCAAATTGTATTTTGGGAGAAAAATGAGACTCAAACGTGCTCGTTCATTGCCCAAAGTTGAGGTAGATACCCTATGATTTCAAACTCATAATTATATTTACGCCCTATTTTAACAATTATTATGAAATTGAGAAGTTTAGATGTTCGTAAAAGAATGAAAAAATGTAATAATTAATCAATAATGTGGAGATTGCATTATTTCCAAAGTGAAGAATAGACTTTTTAACACTTACAGCAACATTACATAATTACAACTAATGACATGTTCATTCGTAGCTTCAATGGGCTGTTGGAGAGGGAAAATCAGCCTCGACAGTCGGCGGCTTCGATTTGGGCATGTAGGTGTAGGTTTTCAATTTATCAAATGATTTGAGGTCAGTGGACTTGTGCTTACCAAATGAAAATATGAAATTGGAAAGGGAAGGATACAAATTTAAAAATGCCTAGATTTTGGGCTAACAATGAAATTAATAATTGGGCCAAAAAAAAAAAATTGAATTTCGAAATTGGGTTGGCATTGGCTGGGCTAGCTAGACATCGACCTGTCTTGGGAATTGGAGCATTAATAACTAAATTAGTTAATTTGCTAATTTGTTTAGAAAAAACTAAAATAATTTAATTAATTCAATATAAAAAATTATTTAGATTCGGTTCTCATTCGATTATTCGGTTCTCATTCGATTATTCGGTTATTGTTTTAGAACCGATAATCGAATCAAGCAAAACCAATTTTCGATTCAAATACCCGTTCGAGTATTTAACTTATGCGCTCGATTAGGTTTAGTTCGATTTTGGTTCGATTTGATTCAGTTCGATTCGATTCAGGAGTTTTGTCCAGCCCTATTTAAAAGTCTCAATCGATTCACGGAACTTAATAGTTATTTCAATCTAGATTTATTTAATTTTTCACACTTGTCCAATAAAGTCAAATTCCATTGCTTATTTATTCTTAGTAATTTATTTGAGTCTTAAATTGGTCCCATTAGTTTATTAATCTTTATTTCTGCTGTCCAATTTTTATTTTTGAATTAATTTGCCCAAAAATATTCTTTTTAAGAAATAAAATTTTCAAACTAAATCTAAAAACAAAACATGTTAAAAACACATAATAAAATAAAAATATTGTACAATAATTCACTAAAATTACAAACATATTAAATTTAAATTAATGGACAAGTCGATGGTCTAGGGCATCAAGTCACATGTAATAAATATACTTAGCCACGACGAGGATAATTATATTAATTAAACAACAAATATAACGTTCATATTATCTAGACACACGCAATTATAAAGAAAAAAAAAAAAGCAATCAACATTACATTTTAAATCCAATTTTACTACAGAAGATGGAATCTTACGGTAAACTACGTAAGACAGCTCGAATAGAAATTTTAACTTCAATAATGCACTGATCTCCAACTAAAAATCCTGGTTCTTTCATATCAGCGATTGGAATGAAACTAGACCATCCCCAACAGTTGTCAGAAGCCGAAAACCAGTTCTTCATCGCACAGCGACGCTTGCGATCGCCATTTCCATACTGGTTCTTCATGCATATGGAGTAATCAACCTTAACTTTTTCACCTGAGGAAAATTCTTGTTTATCCAAGAAAATGGAAACATGACTTCCCTTTTGTGCTTCCTGTCCTTTCGGATACACATTAACCTTCCTAAAATTACCAACAAAAAAAAAAAAAAAAATCAAATTAAAATTAAAAGAAATTGGAATCGAGAGGTCTAGTAAAGGACAGATGTATCATCGCCGAAGAAAATCACATAGAGAGATGTACCATTTATGATCCCCAGCATTGAACTCTTCAGAATTCCATTCATTTTCCAATTCTGAAAATTTTGAAATCTTCAGTTCATGCTTACGGGACTTAGTTACTTTCAACATAGACAAGCACTCTCTAATTCCTTCGTTCTTGACAACAAAAACCTCCGCTCCAAATACACAACTCATCGACAAGGTATCCATTACTTGGATTTGTCAAAGTTTCCGTCACGATGAATTTGGAAAAGCCCCACTCAGGGTTTAGAAGATGAAAACGTCGTTGACCTGCACCAACTTATTAACTTGAGATTAAATTTATAGTAAATGCTCTTCTATTCTATTTAGTAGTAGATAATACCTTTCTTAAACACATATTTGTCAAGTTTGTGATTAAGCAGAAAGATGCTGACGACCGCATTCAATTCCCAGCCAGCATCCGGTTTACTTTTATTTTCTACAGCCAAGTAAGCAGAAACATGATTTGCTCCATCCTCTGCGTGTCGCCCTTCAGGATATATTATCAA